ATATATATAATTTGCGTTTCTATCGAACATTAAAATTCGTCAAGAAGATGAGGTTTCAGCAGCCGTGAAACGACTCGTTGCCCTACGACACTCCAATGGCGGTGCTATCGCATAATCAAGCAGAGAAAATAGTTACAAGGTCGGAGGATGATCGAAGGGCACAGCCGTAGGGTGCTTTCGCGCAGGCACGCCTGACAAGATGGCGTCCGCTGTTCAACAACTTTCCCCCTCGGGGGGAGTCGCAAGGCGTATAATCTGGTGAAACTACGTTAGATTGATTCCTGACATTGGCCACTCATAACTTTAACCCTTCGTTGAAACGCTTGTCTAATACAAGAGCTTTCTCACAAAAGAATTACGGTTTGTTTTGTGAATTAAATTCTGTAAATAAATACTGCAAAAACTTTTAATATTCTAACAATCACTTTGAGCGTCTTGGACAATTATTTTCATTGTTCAACAAAATTATTTTCAAATTTCTAATTGGCCAAGTTTTTCGATGTTTCAGCAAAACTGTTCTTTTTGTGAACAAGCTTTTATCATTTCAGAAATTTGAAGACATTTTATTTCTATCGTATCGGAGATCCGCTATTTTAGACTTTTCATGTTTTGATAATAGTTTCATATTTATCAACATTTTAAAAACCTCGCAGTACTGGTTTTTCATATCCCGACAAGATCAAATCAAAACATTTTCAAATCTGTCTGACCAAGCTTTGAGATTACTTTAGCAAAACTTTTCTTCCAGTATTCCTGCTCTCTTCGTGCTTAAAAAAAGTTCTGCGAAAAATGTTGCATCTTTTACTCTCGGAGAGCTTATCAATCCGGAGAGTTTTTCGAATATACTGTGTACGTTTTATGCACCGGTCGGCCCCGTCATGAACGAGAAAATGTTCGTAATAATTATCGTAAGTATACGGGAATGCGACGCGATACTCCATTAAGGACCGTATGCCGTTTGAGGCTCCTCCACGTGTCCGTGCGCATACACGAGGATAATAATACACTCGGAAATCGGAGACCCGAGCCGACAACCGATACCAAAGAGCGAACAAGTGTGCGCCGCGATGCGTACCAGCATCGTCGTTAATTATGCAATTAATTACCACCTAATTACCAGTGTCCTCGCTCCGTAGCCTGCTCCGGCATCTGCCGAGGCCCTCCTCCAGGTTACACCATCATGCGAGCGAAACTTTCTCTGGTGAACGCGGGACGATAAGCTCTATCTGAAAGCTTCTTTCTTTCTGAATCCATTTTTCTCAAAAATGAAATTCTTTCGTGACACAATCGATTTAATCAATTAGCCAGGTCTACATCCGGTAATGTTTCATGTTTTCCTCTTGACGCGATCATGAAGCTGACGTTGGAAAATTTCTGAATTCGCAATTCCGCGCACAAAATACGGGGCAAAATAAGTTCGATCTGAAACGTTTTTTTCCTTCTGGGAAAATTTTTCCAAAAATGGCTTCTTTTATGACACAATTCGAATTTAATCGATTCGGTAATGTTGACA